CTAATCCAGAAGAGAAAAATAGGACTATAAACAATTAATTCAATCTGCAATGACACATTGATAGATCAATGCACATGGCAGTGAAAGAGGATATGGAACAGAAAGACATTTCTGTATCTTGAAGTGGGGTTGATAAATAAATACTTCAAAAAGATCTAGGACCTTGAATAGTGGGTAGGAATTTGCAAAGAAGAGACGGGAGGCAGGGGGATGGATAGGGGGTGGAGAAACTGTTACCAAAGGAAAACTGAGACATATCAAACCTATAATAAAAATAATCTCAGCCAACTATATTTAACATAATAAAGAAATATACCAGTTGGCCTAGTATATCTTGTATTTTTATTCCCTCAGCTTATTGTGACTTAACCTTTTGCTTTTCCATGCTTGGACTTCTATTACATAATAAGCAAATGCAGGGAGAGTTCTCCCCCAAAAAAAAGTTTCAGAAAGAAGGGAATATTATTTGCAGAACTTGTTGGCATCCACATGCTAAAGGACAAGGAGATCATATGCTCTATCTTCTTGCCAGACATTTGACCTGTTCTATAAAGGATCCCAGGAGCAACAAATACTTTCTCAGTCTTCCACTGGATCATCCTGACTGTTCTCAAGCCCAATCCATAATAGAAAGAGGATTATCAGTCATTTGCTGCATTTACCAGAGATTATTTGCTGTGTGTCATTGCCTTAGAATTTCATCACCAACATGTGTCTGTATGTCTTTGCCTTCATTATAGCTACACTCAGTAACTCATACTTGTGGACCTGTTTTCCATTTGCACCATTCTTTACTGTCTCATGCAGCTGGACATTTCATTCTCAGCACATGGAGAGAGGACCAGCCTCAGCGGCGTACAACCTGCTCAGGTATGCAAGACCCCACACTTAGAAAGACTCCACACTTGGTTGAATTTGATGTATCTGAAAGGATTATTTTTTTTTAACAAGAGACACTGCATTTTTATTTTGCACTAAACCTGAAAACTGTGTAGCCCATCCTGTACAGAAAACTACCTACTTCAAGGCGAATTTCTGTCCAGCAGGTCCATACACCTGAGGTGGGAGTCATTGCAAATGGGTTCTGAGTATAGCTCTTAGTTCCAGCGATTATTTTAGCTGTCATTCACCTAGCAGGGTGACTATCATGCACCCAAAAGTTCAAGCAGTGCAGAAATACTTATGACACTTCATAATAGGTACTGACTTTGATCAAAAGTTTAACTTTGGCCTTGGCTACCCTTCAACATCTTGTTACCAAATACACAGACAGGCTTCTGTACCTTCAAGTTTATAAACAATACCACCTCCAAAGACAGGTTCGTAAAGTTTTCCATTCTGTAAACTTAATGTGTTATGCAGAATTTAACATTCCTTTAGCTTAATTTGAAGAATGGTGTGCAGAATTGCATCAGATGCAATAAAACTAAAGCCCTGAAATTTCGGTTATTAAATACTTGCACCTGACCAGTTTTGTAGTTTGTACTCAAACTGCAAAAAGCAAGAGCCAAAAGTCCAGAAAGGACAGAGAGTATTTCAACAGATTATTTTCTTAGCCATGACAGATTTGAGAGGGCTCTCCTTAAAGTGAATGACAAAAGGGGTCTATAAACTATGCATTTATCTAAGGACATTCCATCATGCACCTCAAGCCATTCCTCAAATTCCAAATGTCATTTTCTTCCTATCCACACTAGACCCTGACACAGAACTGTCACAGGTTCTGATATAGTAATTGGCCACTCACTCTCCAGAGGCCTGAGATCAAAAGAGCATACCACACAGCCATTAGTGGATATTAAAACACTCTTGGGCTGGAGATGTGGCTCCAGGTAGAGCACTTGTCCAGTATGTGTGAGGTCCTACGTTCCAGCCCCAGCAATGGGGTGAAATTTCTCAAGACAATAATAAGACGTTCAACTATGGTGTGCGTTTGTGTGTGTGTGTGTGTGTGTGTGTAGGAAAGGAATAGAACTGGGGAAGAATTGTAACGTGACATCACATCCTTACTTACCATGACTGGAGACGAGACACACCTTTTATTTCCTTCTTGCTCTCCCTGAAGCCATCTCTAGAGACTGAGATCTTCATTTTATTGCTCAGTGCCCAGGAAGCATTAATGAATAGCCTCACCCAAGTTCATACTAATTTCAAACCAACAGCACAAGCCAGCCACAACTATACTGTGTACAACAAAAATCTTGGACAGAACTGACCAAAATCAGGTGGCAGATGCATGGAGACAGGCAGCCATTGTCTTGTTCAGCATCCATGAAAGGGTGACCTTCCCAAAAGTAAACATTCCTATGCCTGGGTAAAATCTACACCACAGCTCTTCAGTATGCACATTCACTGTACTAAAAACAATAAGCTTCTGCAAAACGAACAACGTTATAGCCCTTTTACATACCTGGAAAGCATTTGTTCTGCAGGTATGTTCTGATTTCTCCCCCTTATATTATTCATGCAATTGGGGAAACAAATATTAACTATTTAAGTCCTTATTCTGAAACTTTTACCTCTCCACATTCATAAATTTTGTATTTTTGCTTCTAATTCATAACTGAAAGATACTGATCTACGCTCAGTCACTCTGGAATTGGGGATGGGGGTACTTGAGCCCAAGGCCTTCACACTGAGCCACATCCCCCCTCAACCCCTCCTTTTTATTGAGACAAGTTCTTGCTAAATCCCCAAATTGCCTAGGCTGGGCTTGAAATTGTAATCCTCCTGCCTCAGCCTGGCCACTCTGAAAAACCTTAAAAATGTTTCTATAGCTCACTCACTGCCTCTAAATAGAGCTTATGGCCTGCTTCCTTCAACCAAATTTACTGTACGGCCTGGTGATTTCTCTAAAGAGGTAACATATTCTTCCACTCTTTCCCTCTGAGCACTTTCAAAATATGATAGTAACATATTTCATTCACTTATTTAATAAATGTTTGTCAACTACTCACTGTGCGGCAGACACTGAAGGGTACAGATTTGCTCTAGTCCCTCCCTGCAAGGTAGCCAGGGGTCATTCTGAATGAGGCCTTTGAGTGGCTCAGAGCTTCCTGAAACTCAAGCACCCAGCCTGTGCCTCTCCCTTGTTCCAAACGCAGATTTGTTGACTAAATGCACTGTGCCGGCTTTATTTCCTACATAGAGCTTTCTAATTAACACAGACATTCCAAAGTCAACAGGATTTATGTCAAGCACACTATCAGATGAGCAGAACTTAAAAATAAAAATCACTCTGATAACCTGCTCTGAAGAGTATTCCTGCTGATGGACATCTTGCCAGATTGGGAAATGTGAAAGGATCTCTTTCATAAGTGCTACCTCTGAAATAGTCACAGGCTCTGTTGCAATTTGTTGTGACACAGGTCTGCCTGCACCAGGGGTGACAGGAGCTTGTTAATGCCAAAAATGTTTCTCTCCTTCTGAAACCTGCAAAAGCTGAATGTCACTGATACAACTATCTTAGCTTTCAGTAGGTACAACACACGTCTCGCTTTCCTCGAATGCAGCTAGGTACAAATTTCCAGGAGCAACAATTCACCTCTTCAAATTACAGAGCCCAGAAGCGGCAGAGTGAAGAAAAAGCAGCTGCTACAAAACAAGGGAATTACAGATGGAGACCCTGTGCAAACAGAGCAAGGGGAGAGCTGTTGGTGTTAGCTTAAAATTCCAGTTAAGTAGGCTGTGAATGCTCTGCAGGCTGCAAAGGCTCTGTATAACATCTAATTTTTTTAAATACAAGATTCAAAAAAAATCATAATTCTACTTTAACACAATACTGGGAGAAGAATAGATTCAACTGCTTAAAAATCCCTCAATCAAGAACTAGGCATGAATTTCACAGTGGCTAATAAGAGCTCAATCTAATGCCACATGAAATCTGTTTTTAAATGATTATTTTATTCAGAGTGGTTACTTTTTAATGATGCTATCTCAATTTCCCACTAAACTTTTTTCATCTATAGTCATCCAACATTAATATTTATTTTGTTCATTTGATTTCAAAGTATTCTTAAAGCTCTTACAAAGATTCTGTTGCTGAAGATAATTCAGCAGATACTATCACAAAAATATCATGGAAAACATGGGCAATTTGTTATAGCTGCAGTGTAGCTTAATGAACACAATACTAGAAACTATTTTAGTAAATTAAGAAAATCATTTTAAGACATGTTATAAAATCTACTGCTAAATACACCTTTTAAAAAAATCTATGTGCTCCTTCATCTTGCAATTCTTATGAGTGTAGTTAGATCTCACATTGTAATAATAATGATACCTAAGAACCACTTTATTTTAAAATATTTCCCACATACATGTTTCTTTTCATCATCTTTTTTTTTAAGTCCTCAGTAATTAAACCATACATGTTGGTTTATGATATAATAGTTTATTGCTATAATTTATCTTAGAATAAATTATAGTAAAACAAAGCTATGAGGATATTGAACTTGAACCGTATTTAATGTAATATACAGCTATATTGTCTCCGGCTCCTATTTGGGATTCAGAACTTATCACACTAAGACATTCTGCAGAATGCTTCAATGCAATATGGGTGCAGATCCAGTGCTAACGTAACTACTGCAGGAAAATTCAAGTTTTCTCCCTGAAAAATGCTAAATTCCAAAATCCTACACACTAATCCATTTTTACTTCATCTTTCCCATAATCCATTTTCATATCTGAAAGATATTCTTGGCTGAAGCCCTACACTGTCTGCATCATGTTATTTTCTTTGCAAGTTTGCTTTTAGAAAACATGATAAAGAAAGCAATATATCCCAAAGGCATCCCAAGTAAACCATTACAAATTCTTATTCTCTTTTGCATTAATTTGAATAAAGTGAGGAAGAAAAGCCTGTTAAGTTGTCCTGATTCTCAGATAAAATTTCCCTGCTTTCATGTCCCCCTACTATGTCACACAGAAAGACACTCCAGATACTTGTCACTTCGCTCACCAAGAAGTTGCTACCATCACCAACAATACATTCACACTAATTTTTGAGGCTTGTATTCTAATCATGAGAACTTTTTAAAATTACATATTTTGAAAAAATCTTTTCTCTGAACCAACCTCAGGACAAAAACATTGCCCTATGCTTCAAGGTTCCTTGCATTAACTCGGTACAGTAGTAATCAAAGCCGAATGCCTTCAAATCAAGGGCTTGCTTCTTCCTTTCCGTAACTCAAAGTTCAACAGGAGAGTAGTGTGTGCTTTTTCTTCTACTGTCTTGCTGGGTTTTGCCTATAGAATTTTAAGATTTGTTTCATTCCTGGGCACCTGGCAGGCTGTGATTTTCATGTGAGAAAACAACTCCCAGGCTATCATTAAGAAGCCAGAAGCTTCTCCCAGTTCAGCTGTCCTCCAGGAGAGTACCTGATTCTATCTAAACTACAAAGGGCAAAATAACAGAGTAAATTCCCAAGTAATGGAGGCAAATATAAAAAGGAATATTATTTATTACCATCTTTATTAACACTCACATGTAACCTTTGTTTTTTACACAAAAGTCTACTTTAGAAGGATGCCTCCTTGATTTATCATGCCCAACAGGGCCTTATGTTCCTGGATCATTTTCCCTTTCTCCACCCCAGCCCACCCCCACATCCAAATTATTCTTACATGTTCACAGATACCACGAAAATTTTGTAAACAAGATTTGGATTACTGGAACTTGATTTCATCAACATTCCACTTCAAGATGAAGGCAGGTGCAGGAGAGGGTAAGAAATGGGGGAACTGGGAAGGGAGAAGGGGCAGGGGTCAGGGAGAAGGGGCAACTAGTTAGAACTTTCAAGTCTTGCCTTTTCTGAGGTGTGTGAGCTCTGTGTGTGTGTGTGTGTGTGTGTGTGTGTGTGTGTGTTCCTTGAAATTCACCGACTCGAAACATTGACAGCAAGTGCCTGTGTGGTTGTTTATATTATATATCTATAATAGAACATGTGGGTTTCTCAGTTTGGGTCTGGGTTGTGTTTGTTGAAACACTCCACAGTGCTCTTTGTGGGTGGAGTCTACCGGGCACCAGATCTCCTGGGAACGCCTCTCAGAGCCGGGGCTTCCGAAGCAGGGTCTTGCTGAGATCTTTGACCTCCTCGGGGCTGTTCACCCGCTCATAGCCCAGCACAGCCATGGGCTGGTAGCAAAACTCCTCCACCTGTTTGATCTGCTGGAAGGTGAGTGCGGTCCGCCAGGCGTTGGCGGCCTGCGTGGCATTGCGTGCAGACACCACGAAAGGCTTAGAGGAGGAGCCCGAGCCACTGGTCATGTTCAGGGCGAACTGCTCCATTTCAGGGCTCACTAGCAGCCCCACAAAGTCATATACCTTCCGCAATGTCTTAACGGGGTCTCCCACCAGATCCTCGTACCGCACCACCAGGTAGTGGCCCTGCAGCCAGTCAGGGGGCTGCAGGGCTGTCTGCAGCGTCTTGGCCATGCTGTTGCATATGACCTCCATAGCGCCGAGCGCATGGTAGTCTGCTGGGCCACCCATGCCCTCCTTCTTGGCACTCAGCTTATGCCCAGCGGCCTCCAGGAAGGGCATACGATGGGCCCGTGGGTCCCGGCTGCGTACCACCTGTAGGCTCTCTCGGATGAGGCCATGGCGCGAGCGGATACGTGAGCTGGCAACTGCACGGGGATCACGCACCAGGTGGATGACCTTGAGGTCCAGGGCCGGGTCTCGAAGCAGCGGCGCCAACACTGCCACGTCAAAGACGCGCACACCCTTGATAACCAGCGTGCGGTACTTGCGGCACTCCTCTTCGAAGCGTGCCAGGCGCTGAGGCGGGCACTTCTTGCACACCCTGTCGTCCACCAGCCCCACGACCTCCTTGCGGTAGGCGGGGCAGAGGGGCGAGGAGCACACCACCTTGTTGGTGGCGGCACCGAAGATGCCCAGCGTGGTGAGGTTGCGCCCCCCGCTGCCAGCGGGGCTGTACAGCTGGAAAACGGAGAGATCGCATCGGTAGAGAGCGCTCAGCATGTCCCGCGCTGCTCCCTGCAGGGAGACAGCATCCCCCGGGTACAGTTTTTGCCACACGTGCCACACTGGCTCGTAGAGAAAGAACACCTCCGGGTTCTGGTTGAAGAGCTCGCCGAAGAAGGACGAGCCCGAGCGCCACGTGGTGAACACATAGACCAGTTGCCGCTTGTCCCCGCCGCCCCGGGTGCCATTTCCCTGTGGGGCCGCGGCCCCTACCACCCCCGCCGCAGCTGCAGGCGCTGACCCTACGGCGGCTGCAGCAGGAGAGCGGTACGGGGTGCGGGGGTCTAAACGCGCGGGAGCGCGCGGGAGCGCGGCAGGAGGCAGCCCTGGGCGTCCCCAGCCGCCCCCAGATGCCCCCGCCGCGGCACCCAGCGGCCCGTCGGGGTTGCACTGCTGCAGTGGCTCCTTGTGCCACTTGTAGTCCAGGAGGTTGAGCATGGTGAGCACCAGCAGCAGTGCATAGCCCGCGCACAGCACTAGCGCCTTCCTGCGGAACACCTTCATTCCGAGCGGGGACGCGGGCCAGCGGCGTCCCGGGCGCCGGGGCCAGGGCGGGAGCAGGGCACGCGGTGAGGCGGCAGGCGCAGCCGGGAGCAGCCGGGGGAGCGCGCCCAGAGGCAGAGCTCGCGGCGGGCTGCGGCTCATCACAGGCACAGCCGGGGCCGGCCACGCGGCGGAGGCGGTCCTGCAGCCCGAGAGGGAGACGCAGTGGGCCGGCTGCGGGAGCCGGCACTGGGGCCGCGGCTCCGAGGTGGGCGCGGCGGCAGGGGCGGCTGGTGTCCGACGCCCAGGGCTGGCTCTCCCATGGCAGCGGCTCCGCCAGAGACCTGTGAGAGGAAGCGGAGTGAGTGGGTGCGCCCCGGTCTTCCTCCCAGCTACCTCCTCCCTAAGTAATGCCCACCCTAGAGTCTCCCGGCTCCTTACTCACCTGGAGCCGCGGGTGCGCTCGAGCGCCTCGGGATCACCGACCAGCGCACTGTCCGGCTGTCACTCGTCCCTTGATTGCTGCTCTCTTGCGGGGGATCGAGGAGTCTTCGACGGGGCCGAGAGATTCCGCAGCCCAGGCCCTGGGCAGACTTTCCTGGCAGCGAGCGCCCGAAGCTGGGGAAGGGAAACTTTCACTGGGCCCTGAGCCCTGCAGCGCGATCCGCCGAGCCCTCGCGTCCCGGCTTCAGCGACGTCTCCCTGCTCTCTCGGGACCGCAGTTCCTTTCTCGCTCCGGGAGGAGAAGCGGGCTACAGGCGAAGGCGGGGGCGGGGGCCTTTATAGAGGACCCAGCTCCCAACAAAACGGATCTTCCTCTGTCGCTCTTCGCCTCGGCACAGCGAATGTTTCCATCTCCCCGGTGGCGGCGGCGGCGGCTGCTCCTCCCATCACCAGGAGATGCCCCCGCGGGCAGCGCAGACGAGCCCGCTGCGCCTTCGCCTCGGACCGGCCCGGAAGGACCCCGCACACGCAGTCGAGACGAACGAGCCCAGTCCGCAGCGCTCCCTGCCGCCCCGCCCGGCACCAGCCGCTTCTGGCCCACAGGGTCTCCAGGCAGAGGAAGCCCCGGCCGCCGCCGCGCGAAAGCGGCGCCCGCAAGGATGCTGCTCCCCGACTCCCCTACGCCGAGCGCCCGCAGCGCGCTCCGCCCGGCCTCTGCGCGCTCCTGCCAGCCGGCGCCGGGTTGGTGCGCTCCCCTGTCTGTCGCGCGGCTCCGCCCCTCCGCCGCTCTGCCCTCCTCCGCCCCGGGTCCCACGCCCGCCCTCTTCGTGGCGCCCGATCCCGCCGCCGCCTCTTTGGGAGCCGGGGCCGCGACCCTTTTCACCTCGGCGCCGCCTGGGCCGCCGTCCTCGAGTTGGAAGACTTAGGTCTCCGTGCGCACAGCACCCGGGCGCCGACGCGGGATTCGCAGCGCTCGGGCGCCTCAGGCTGTAAATGACTGAGATTCTGCGTGACTGCGGAGTTGATCCCACGTTCTGGAAAACGTGTTGAAGATAAAGTTTGGACCGAAATCCCCCGGCAGCGGTACTCTCCGCTCTTCCCTGGGGTCGAGAGCAGCCCCTCCAGGAACCGAAGACGCACTGCTCCCGAGAGCCTCGGAGGAGCGCCCTTCTCAGGCTGCTGACGCCCGGCTCGCCCTGTCAGCTGCTCTGTGGTTTCTGCCTCGAAAAGGAAGTAATAAATCTTTCTGGCCCAGAGGTCAAAGAAGACGCTTCAACTTTCCTGGAGTGCACCGCGGGGAGACTTCTGCGCGTTTACCGGACCTGTATACCGGGCTGCTTCGTTTTTATTACGCCGCCGGCAGAGAACTAACCTCCCGCTTCAGAGAGCTGCGTCCGCGGTGACTGAAGTCCTCCGGAATTGGGGTGATGGCGGAGGAGGCGACTCTGTTCTAATTTACAGCAAAACACTTGTCCCGTTTCTTGGCTTTTAGAGATGAGATCAAAGACCCTAGTCTCAAAGGAAACACTGTCGTTGAAAATCGAAAGTCATTTTTTAGCTAGTTTAAGTACTTTTTGTCAAAGAGAGAATCCTAAGCCACATCCTCAACTTCATCTGTAAAATGGGGACAACTATCTGCTAAAGAGAGACCGGAGAGAAGTTAGAGCGCGCATGGGAAAGGTAAAACCCCAGCGCAGGGCTGCGGGTGAGAAGACAAATTGCTGTGGGACCAGAAGCTCAGTGGCCGCGGGCACAGTGAGGACCTCGAAGAGGTGACCCTTTGGAGTCGTTACTAACAAATTTGAAGTTGCTGCAAAATTACTGTTGTTCTACTTGAGGCAGCCTCTCTCCGCCAGGAGACCTACCTAAATTTAAGATGTTGCCGTTAGAGCCATTATTCTACATGAAGTTACAGAATCTTCCAAGTACGAGAACTCTTAGCGAGCTAAGTGGTTTTCCGTGAGTTTTCACCACGTTTTTCTGTGGGTTTAGTTTCGGGGTTTAAAAAAAAAAACTTAATTTGGTCCCATTTTCCAGGGGGGAAAAATCTTAATGTCGCTAATAGAAACAACTTCAGCTAATCCCCCCACCCCACCTCGTGGTTCTGATAAGGTATAATAGGAGGAGGCGCTAACCGGTAAGAGGGGAGTAAAGCTGCACCTTTATAAGTAGCTTTCCCAGGGAGCTGGCATCCCCCCGGAAGTTGGTCAGGACAGACGGAAGTGTTTATCCCTGTTTACAGATGGAGCTGGTAGACTTTTAATGAGCGGCTTCCCACTTTTCCTCTCTGGCCCCTGCTTTCATTCCAGCGCTCCTTCGAATATCCCAGTCCCTTTTCTCTTGTGCTGTTTCAGAAAGACAACGGAACAAGCAAAAACTAAAGTTCTGTTGTCACATGAAAAGACAGGGAAAAGAGAGGGAGTTGAGAAGAAAAGAAAATTCGATCTTAATATTTCAGCACAATCCCAAGAAAAATAATTTCTAATAGTTTTGGTTTTATATCTGGCTTGATGATTACCCAGAAAGCAGTGAATTGCAGCTATTGAAGGTAAGGAGCCTTTTTAAAACAATTGTTTACATAGAAACAATTTTGTTGCAATTTTGTAACATTTTGCTGGAGTTGGCAACGTAGTAAATCCATTCGCCAGACGCCCCCACAGTGAGTACTCAGCTGTGTGCTCAGCTGGCATAAATTTACAGGTTCTGCGGTCTCCACCCTCTCCTTGCTTGCAAATATTTTACCATTTGGCACGGTGTCATGATTAATTCTGAACTTTGTGACAGCTAATGACAGAGAAATTTGATAATGCCTTCCTTCCTGAATCCTGAAATTCCCTTCATTTTAATGGACTTGCCCTGTTGGCATAGTAATGACCCAGACGTAGGATAAGTCATGTCATAATTTCATTTGCGGAAGAGCCAGTCATGCCACAGGACTGTCCTTAATTTCAGCTCACTTTGTAGTTTACTGCAATTCAGTCTTCTCTAAGAGGTAGCTTCATCTCTTTCTCTGCTGTTTGTTTTATGGAGAGGAAAGTGCTGTTGGAAATTTGTTGTGGCTTTTACTTTTTTTTTTTTTTCATAGTACTAAGGCTTGAACCAGGGCCTTCACACTGAGCTACATCCCCAGCCCTGTGTAATTTTTTATTTTGAGACAGGGTCTTGCTAAATTGCCCAGGTTGAGCTCAAACTTGTGATCCTTCTGCCTCACCCTGCCAGAGTGCAGGGGTTACAAGTGTGCACCACCAGGCCTGACACTTTTACATTGTATGTTTGGTTTTGGGGTTGGTTTTGTTTGTTTTTGTTTTTGGTACTGGGGATCGAACTCGGGACCTCGCACTTGCAAGGCAGGCAGCAGAACCACTGAGCTAAATCCCCAGCCCAATTTTACATTGTAATCTTGAACAAATAGAGAACCTAACATTCTGAAGTAGGGTAGGCCCACTCACCCTGGGGAAATTGCAGAGAGATCTTTGGGACCTTTCTGCCAGAGTCTGAATGAGGGAAAGATGTAAGTTTACCTGGACAGTTTCCATCCAGGCTTGTCTGTGCCACTGGGGGCTGCAAGATTCACCTTTGGGAAATGCCTGTCCCTGAGCACCAAGATAAATTTCATTCTTTCCTTCTTATTTTCAACAAATAAGAATTTTCAATGAAATTTAAATGCACAGAATAAAATTGAGACATGCCATCCTCTTTAGTCCAAGGGTGACCCTTTTTATTTTGTTTTAATATAATAAACGTATTAACTAATCACTCAGAACCTCCAGAGGTAACCACTCTACTTTACTTTATAAATTCAGATGAAATGGTCGTATTCCAAGGGAAATAATTGTTTTAAATAACTTGCCTTAAAGATCTCAAAAAGAAATAGACTGAAACAGTTTTGGAATTACTGAGAAACTGAAGCATCCACTTAAAATATTCCCATAAGAAAAACAACAGGCTCTGGCAGATAAATTTAAAGGATTCAACTAAACTTTCAATCTTTAGATAGTTTCTATCTTCTATGTTATACAACTCTTCCACAGAATAGAAAAAAAAGATACTTTCCCAACTCATCCAAAGTGGATATGAACTCAAAGGGGATTTCAGAGAAGGAAATAGGTCCTATTTACTGATTAATATATACATAAAACTCTTAAAATATCATCAAAACTAATCAAGTGGGGAGGGACAGACAATGCACTACACCCAAGTCTCATTCATCCCAGCGACATAAAGATGAATTAAGTATTTACTAAGCACATACATGATGCCAGGTGCCATTCTCCCAATGTGGGATACAGGTGTTAAGCAAGGCTGGTCTCCCATTCACATGGAATTTGCACTCTTGAGGGAGAAACATTGCACACACATGCATTTTTTAAAGATAGGATTACTTTAGACACTGATGAGTGCTATGGAGGAAATACAATAGAGCGATGTGGCAGAGTGACTGAAAGCAGCTACAGTAACTTTCTTTAATTGAGAAAATGATCTGTGCAAAGGGAAGCTGACCCTTGCAAAGAATGAGGGAGGATCCAGGTGACAACCAAAGAGAATTTCATGTAGATGACACAGCAAGTGCAGAAGCCCTGAGCAGGAATAAGGTTGACGTGTTTAAAGAACAGCAAGAAGTCCAGAGGGCTGGTGCCCAGCAAGTGAGATCATGGTATCCCACTGACTGAGGTGTGTCTGGTTGCAATACCTATGGGAGCTTCCTTAATGTTAGACTTTAAAATGCAGTTTCTTAGAAAACACAAAAGAAGGATGTTATGGGAGAAATGTACACAGATTCATTTCTCCAAGAACATGCATAGCTAATTTCCAAATGTGTCACTCTGGGGCTGTGCTTGTTTGAGAACCATCCTCTCCTCCCCATACCCCACCAAAAGTTGCTCAGCCTATCTACATCTTCACCTTTTTGACCTAGCCCAGCTGTCTGCATCCTGCATCTCACTGAAGTCTGGAGAGCTGGCAGCCTAGGAGTTGCTTTCTGCAGCTTTCCTTTCCTTCTAGGTGCTAGAGGACAAGAACCACCTAACTGGAGCAGTACATGTTCCGCACAGCTAGAGCTGCCACCTCCTCTAGTCTATCAGCCATTGCCCTGTGGCCTGAAGTGGGCATCTTGCTTGGTTCTGCCTTCACCACATCCACCATCCTTTCCTTTGGTAAGGATCTGAAGTGTTTGAGTCTTTGGTGGGACCTTCAGCCAAGGCACTCCTCCCATGGACAGGCCCATGACCTCAGTTCAGCCAATTAGACATTCTCTCCATGGAAATTTCATTCAGTCATTCACTCATTCATTCATCCTATATGTATTGCACTTCTATCATGTGCCAAGCAACCTGAATCTTCAGCAGACACCAAAAAATGAGAAACAATTGTTGCCTTCTCATCCCAACAACAGAGCCCTAAAGATGTGGCCCATTCTTCTCTCAGAAGGGATCCTCTCTCTTTTAAACCTGTTGTTTTTCTAAAGATTCTGTAAGCTACCCAGATCTATCATAAATCCCTCTCTTCTCCCCATCAAGTTTCTCAGAGTCTGTTTCTGTTACACACAATCAAAATTGCCTAATTAACAGAGTGGCTTGCTGCCCAGTTATAGACTCAGTTTCACGCATGCTTTTGTTTCTGTGCCTGATTTCCATCTGCTGTTACATCAGTGCCTTCTATGAGTTCCCGCTTTTAAATGCC